TCATCTGCCGCCGCTGCCGCCGTCCATCCGACCGCTCTTTCCAGACATCGCCGGTCGTCGGCTCCCGAATTCGGCCGAATTCATCCTGGTGGATTGATAATTCACGGTGTGCACCATTATTGACGAGATTTAAACAAATTGGGGGTGGGGCTTTTGTGGGAAAATTGGATAATTATAAAGGATTGATATGAAATTTAAGTAAATTTAACTATATTGCAAATTGGTCCTTGGTCAACTCATTAACTGTAATGGCATGATTGATATGATGGAATGGAATTTCGTAGGAATGGAATGAATTGAAGAATGAAATGATTATGGGAATGAAATGGAACATGTTTTATCATTGATGCGTTTGGTATGCAGAAGGAATAGGATTGGAATAAAATGACATTTTCATTTTTATTATAAAAATAAATAAAAGTTTTTTTTTAAAAATAATATACTTTTAATAAATTATATATAAATTCCTTTTCAATAATATATAAAAATAGAATAATTTATTTTTAATAATATATAAAAATAAAATAATATACCTTTCAATTATATAAAATAAAAATATTATATTTTTAATAATATATAAAAAATAATATAATATATAAAAAATAATATATTCTTAGAAGTAATATATTTTTAATATATAAAAAATAATATATTTGCAATAATATTTAAAAATAAAAAATAGAATATTTTTAATAATATATATTATATTTTTTAATTAAACAATAAATAAAAGTAAGTTTTCAATTTTTTATTTGAATTTTATTTTAAAAATTTTTTATTTTATTTTCTTTCAATAATTTTATTTAATATATTTTAATCATGATTTATAATATATATTATATATTTATTTTTTATTATTATTTGTTAATTTTATTTTTTGAAAAATTGATTCCTACACACATGGGAATGGGAAAACTTTCCATTTACTATGGAATGGCTAATCCCATGGAGATGGGTTTTGACATTCCCATTGGAATGATCATTCCTTCCTAAAATACATATCAATCATGGGATAAGGAATGAGCAGAGGAATGATCATTCCATTCCCATGTCATTCCTTCATACCAATCATGCCATGAATTTAATGAGTATTCAAGAATGATGGATAAAAATGTATAAATGCACATTATTCTATTTGAATATGCACAAATGCACAAAAACACGAAATTAACATTACTAAATATGTGTTTATTATATAAATAATTTAATAAATTTAAAATAATGTTAATTGAAATACACATTATTAATATTTTTAAAAATTAAAGATGTATACAAAAAATTCATGATAATTATGTTACAATAATGATAGTCGAGATGCACGTTTTTGGCTGTGTGAAATGCATATTATTTATTTCGTCATTTTGAATATTATGTCATTTCAACAACAAATTTATAATTTAAATATAAATTTTAAAATACTAAATATTTTTTTCACAATATATCATTTACATTATTTAGGATAATTTGGTTAACCGATCGATAAAAATAATAAAAATAAATTATTTTTTAAATTATTATACAAAAATAATATAAAAATTAATTTATAATAATAAAGTATGTAATAAAAAATATTAAATAAAAATATTTTAATTACTTAAGTTAATTCGATATACAATTGTATACATTAAAACTAGTTTTCGAATACACATAATTTATCTAAAAAGGTATAAATTCACGCACTTTATATAATAGTATGTTGCACTTTGTAAAATAACACGTTGCACTCTACATAATACTTTAATTATATCCGTCAATCATCTATCCACAAAAAAGCACAGGTGTGTTAACGTACCCAAATTTCAGTATTGTTGCACTTTATACAATATTACATTGCACCTTATAACACGTCGTGTTGCACATTATAAAACAAAACAAATAAGGTGTCACGAAAATAATAAATAAGATTATTAACATATTATATATAAGTTTAATATTAAATATAAATTTAGTATGAATAACAAATTATTTCAATTGTTTAGGATAATTCGGTTGACCGAATCGAATAAATCAACTGATTATATTCATTTCCAAACTCGATGCATTATGAAAAGGTCAGTTGGTTCAATATGTGATCATATCTACCAAATATAATTTTTAAAAACACGTAGTTTATATGTGATCATATAAAGTAGTGCACTTTATATATCAACTAGTTGCACTTTATAAAACATCAAGTTGTACCTCACAAAATTCCACGTTGCACTTTATTGCCACACTTTACAATTAACGTTAATAGCTTCTGCCAATATATCACACAATATAAATCTAGGAAACAAATCTACACTATACTTTAACATTCATCACTTAATATATCCCAAAAAACACAAGCAAACTAACGTACCAAACTTGCAGTAGTTCACTTCATATATCATCACTTTGCACATTATGAAACAACGTGTTGCACTTTATATAACATCACGTTGCACTTAACATATACATAATACATTTTGTACAAAAGAAATAAATAAATTACTAAATAAAAATATTAAAATACTAAATATATTATTATAATATAATTATGAATTAATTCGACTATTTAGGTTAATTCGATTAACCGATCAAATAAACCAATTATTTTGGTCTTAGTTTGGATTTAAACAAATAATAAAAAATATCTCATATTCGAGTACACATTAACGTTAGACAAATTGCATATTAGTAACTGTCAGGTTGCACTAGAGCAATCGAAACCGACCGACAAAGTATATTGGGTCCGAATATTATATTTTGGTTCGATTATCTGTTTATACTTTTGAATTCTTGGTTAGTTTGATTTGATGTCATTTTTTTTTAAATAATTGAATCGATCAAACTATAAAACCAAAAAAAAAATTATTTTGTTTTTATATATTTTATATTATACAACTAAAATATAATATAAAAATATTAAATAAAACATTAAAATATTAAATATATTTTTTATAATATAAATTATGTTAATCTGATTAACCAATAAAATAAACCAAATAGTTCGTTCGATTTTAGTTTAGTTTGGGCAAAACATAAAAAATAATATAATGTTAGTGCACAATAATGTGAAGCGAATTGCACGTTAATGCCTATTAGGTTGCACGTTAATGACTGTCTGATTGCACAATAGCATATGAAATCGATCGAACTAGAAAATTTATGTTCGAAATTTATATTTCGGTTTGATTATATATTTTTTAACTTTAAAACCGCATATTTAAAGCCGCATAATACACTCAAAAAATTGCGTATTTATTATTATTTTTTTAATAAGTTCGTATATATGTCATAAATTTTTAATGTGTCCATACACGCAATATTGTGCAATTTATTTGTTGATGTTCAATTTTAAAACTTTAATAAATTGCAAATTTGACATATGTGAATTGTAATATAGTTATTTTTTCTCAATTTGCAGACAAGTCCCTATAAATTATCTAATTTACCAAGTCAAGCCTTCCCAAATTTGCAAAATCAGAACCTCTGAGCCTTCAACCGGATCACAGAGTCACAATACGCAGACTTCATCAAGCAACGGCACGACAACCGGTGGAAGGGAAGAAGATGTAGGACGGAAATTTGAATACGGTTTGATCTTGAATGGCAGTGCGTGAACCGGCGGAATTTCGAATGGCAGTGCGTGAATTGACGGGATTTCGAATCTGGTTATGCCTGTCGGAGCGGCTCAAGATCAAGAAGCAGGTGAGGCGAACGAGATGCGCGTCTCGATCTTGATGTTCGTCGTGGTATCGTCGAAGTTGGCCGACGGGAGGAGGACGATGCCGGCGCCGGGAGAAAAAGGCAGAGATGACGCCTGACTTGGTGGCAGAGACGCCTGTCGGTGCCAGATTAACAGCGAGACGGTGCGAGAGAGGGGCAGAGTGCGGCGGCAGCGTGCGACAACGGGCGGCAGCAGGCGGCGGATGGGCGGCTATGGTCGGATGGTATGGATGCATCTGCGACGGGCGGCGGGCCGGAGAATCCTTGGTCGCATCCGTCTCCGGCGATGGGCTGTGGAGGCGCGGCAGCGGGTTGCAGAAGCGCGGCGGCGGAGCTCCGCCGCTGAGGAGGTGACGGGCCAGATTCTGCGTGGAGAATTGTGTGTGTGTGTGTGTGTGTGTGAAGAAGGTGAATGACGGGGGTAGGTGGAGGGGTGTAGGGTTAAAGGGTGAGATGGTGGGTCCCATAGTGTGTTTGGTTCAATTGTCTAAATTATCATTAATTAGTGGTAAAATCTATTTATTTGACCATCATATATATCTTTATTTACCACATTGCCATTAATGATTGACCAATATTTATTAAAGTTTGACTTAATCATCACTATTGATATCATACATCCAATGGTATAAATTCATTCTTATTTCTTTCACTATCTACCATTCTCACATGATCGTAATTCTATATATATATATATATATATATATATATATATATATATTGTCTCTTGATTTTTAGTTTCACCAAGTGTGAGTACTATACGTTGACGATTACCTATGAACAGTGACGAATTTACTTAAGGCCTGGGCTGGGCTTAAGCCCAGGCCTATTTTTTTTAATACTATTAGTGTGTAAAACTTTTTTATTTAAGCCCAGCTCTATTTTCGTTTTTTTTTTCAAATACTATTAGTGTGTAAAACTTTTTTATTTTGAACCTAACCATGCCCAAGAGCCCAACTCAATACTTTCCTATGGCTGGCCCTCCAAAACAGAATTCCAACAATGATCTATGCAAAGGCATAGGAGAATTATACTGTAATCTTTCAAATATACCAATTAACTCACCAAAATGTTCCTAACTATTTAAGTCCAAAACTCCAAACACCATTCTAAGCACCATACTCCAAACTTGACAAACTCCAAATCTCCAATAAAAAATAATAATCAGCAGCGTGCTAGGGTAAGTTTCATTTGCGTAATTGTTTTTATTTTATCTTTTTATTTTATTTAGGCTATTTAGAGTTTTAATAGTAATTGATGTGATCATTTATCTCTATTTGTTTTTTCTTAATCTTAAAAATATGAAACAATTGAAAAATATAGAGTAAACATAAATTATAAAAGCCAACACTTCGTATTAAGATTCGAAATGGTTTTCTCGAATATTGTTTTGATACTCTTCATCGAACGGGAGTTTACTAATAGTATAGTATAAATTATATTATTGACGAATTTTATTCTGTAAAAGCTCCTCGAGCACAACATCAGTAAATATTTGAAGAAAAAAATATTATGTGGTTTTTATGATAGTGAGTTTTTAAAATTTTAGCCCAGTTTACTCTTAATTTCTGGATCCGTCCTTGCCTATGAATGCATGAGCTTCACAACCACTGCAAATAAGATCCGCCATAACATGTCAATACAATAGCTGGACACTTACCGAGATTCATAACAGTCGGCCCAAATAAACATGAATTTGTCCACGATAGCACAGAAAATCTCAACATCTACCTCCAAGGATAAAAGCATCTACAAATCTTAATCACACCACAATTAGGTCGTCTTTCTTAATCTCATACATAAATCATACACCTCAAACTTCTGCGAAACTCATGCAAAAGCTACTGCAAAACGGCCAACCAAAAAGACCCAACCAAATGTACCTTTCGAAACATACCCATCCAGTTACCGCCAAATCTGCTGTGTCCAAACAGAGTACCTTGAAAAAAAACNAAAGTTAGCTCATGTAATTATCCTAAATAGTTTCCAAATTTCACAGCATGGGTGGAAAAATTAAAATGAAAAATGCTACAAGTACATAATAAATATACATAACACTCACATAGAGTGGGGTCTACTTGATTTTTTATTTTTGGTAAGACCCACTTAATGTAAGTGTTATGTTCAGTATTATGTACCTATAGCATTTCTCAATTAAAATTAAAATTAAAGAATTGTCACTAACATTTTTTTATTTTATTCCTTCCAAGAAAATCAACGTCCCAAACGCCACCTCATAACTACCTCATCCGATCAACGAACGAACGAGAACCCACCAACCGGCCCAAATTTCGCCAAAATCTCCTTCTCCTTCCTAGCCGACTCTTTCCTCTTCGACTCCCACACGGACCTCTCTGAATTCGCCACCTGTACATCATTCACGATCCTCGGCACACAATCAAGCGCCCCTTTCTGCTTACACACAAGGTCCGCAATCCTCTTCTCGTTCGTCTTAATAACAGCAGTCAGCACCGCACGTCGAGACTGCAGCACAGCAATCTGCTCGTCTATCTCACGAATAACAGCCGAGGCCGAGTCCACCTCCGCCTGCAAAAGGACGATTTTACCCTTGGACTGTATGAACTCGTTCTTACGCTCTTTGATGCGCGATCTCTTGGCCCCCAGCTCGGAAAAAAAGTTACTCGCTTGCTCGGCCACTCGACGGGCTTCCAGAAAGTCTTTACCGGCCAACGGGATTTCACGCACGAGATTCAGCATCGAGAGTTCCTCAGGGGTTAAATTCGGATCAAGCTGGAGTTTGAGGGTCAAATTCGTAATTTCGGGAAGATTGTCCGAGCTGACTAGGCTCGAGAAGCCCATGGCCAGGAGGGAAGAGAGGTGTTTCCGGGCTTTGGTGAAGTCGTCATCGGTTTGCGGGCCGGATGAGGATGGGTTCAGGCCTTTAGGGCCCGAATCGGATAAAGTGTCGTCGAGGGAATTTAGATAGAATTCAAAATCTTCCTGAGTCATCTCGGCTAGATAGTCGGCTAAGGATCGAGAGTCGTGAGGCAAGAGGTTGAGTTCGGGCTGGACAGGGGCTTCTTTCGCTGGGCTGGTGGAGATTTCGGGGTTATTATCGGGAATATTTGAAATTAAGTTGTCTGTTGATAAGTCATGGGGGGTGTAATCGAGCAAAGGCACGTCTGTTGAGGAGGGTGTGTTGTTGTCGACAGTGGGTGGAAATTGGATGGAGGTTTTGGCAGATTTTTTGCGTGTTCGTTTCGAGATTCGACTTCCGGTTTCGACTTCTTTTGGAGGTGTGTCTGTCATTGAAGGTCTTTTTCTTGAAGGTTTTCTTTTATCTGCAAACGGAAGGTGCATGCAAGTAATTATTAACACATTATTCAGGAAATGGAAATGTCTTCAGTCAACTTGCTGGGTTTTGAAAAGAGACTGATATGAAAAACGATACTACAATATTAATACGGAGACTCTAAGGCTAAAAGAGTATGTGCAAGTTGCTTCAGTATGTTATATCTCTTAGACATCATAGAGAAACTTTCTAGTTAGTGTCTGTTTAGTGTTCAAGGCAAGGATGAATGCAATTTAAAGTTGAACAGTGCAAAAAAGCATCTACCCAAACTAACCTTTTCTTGCGGTTTGTACTTCAGCAGGGATTTCCCAAGTGAACAATTCGAAAAATTTATCGACATCCGCCTCAGGAAATTCAGATTGAAGAAAATGAATAACAGCTTTCTTGCTGCCGAGCCATATTTTCCGAGACGAGTTTTTCTGAAGCCGCTTGGGAACAATCAAGAACCTATGCATGAACAAGCCAGACGAGCTGATTTTATTCCCAACTTTCCAGGTCCAGACATCACCAGGACTCGGCCAATCCACAGGAGCATATGGTAGTCCTTCTCCACTTGCCTTAGGTGGGACAGCTGAAAGAGGGCTAGTACCGTCTTTTTCCATCTCAAGAGTGGAACTGTTTATGTGATATGAGAAATCCAATCTCCATCAGCAAAATACATATGAAATTATATACAGAGCAAAAGAGATCTACATGCGTTTCTTTTGGTTTACTCATTATCAGACGCTATATAGTTCAAGAATTACAGTTTAAAAAATGCTAGCAACTCAGCTATTAGATACATAATAAACTGAAATGCTCTATAATTAGAAAAATTCTTTTATTAGACAGAAGCAAAGTGGCAAACCAGAACAACAACATATCACCACAGAACTTTTTATTAGTGTAGTACTACCTTTCTATATAATAAAACATCATTTTCTTCATGAAAGTCTCATTATTTACATAAAGATTTGACCTTTCTAGAATATAAGAGAACCCTGCATGACTTATACATGTTTAAAATGGCTTCCATTAAGAAAACAGGAGAGAGAGAGAGAGAGAGAGTGTGTTTTTCAGTTCACCAACCAATCAAATGACAAGATAACTAACATGTTAGTATTGTAAGTATAGTTGTAAGTAACAATAGTAAAGTTGCTATTACCAATAGAAACTCTAGTCCTATTATGTAAATTATTATTATTATTTTAGCGCAATGTAACCCCAGATATAAATACACAACTAACACATCATGTAATCCTAATTTTTTCCATTCTACCGAATAGAATTTTCTTCTTCTTCTTCTTCTTCTTCAACTCTCTTGCTGCTCTCGATCTATCTGTAAATCTCTTGTTCATTAACTCTGTAATCCAACATGCTATCAGTAGTTGGAGATCCTCCGTTGATTGTTTCCGCATTCTGATTCNATCCAATCGATCTGAGGTTTTTTGATTGGTTTTTCAACCTCCGAAATCCGATTGATCTTCAATTTCAGATTATATCTATATTTTTCCAATCTATATCTCTTAGATCTACACTTCTTCGATCTGCATCTCTTAGATCTTGCTGATGAAAACAAACATCAGTTATATGGCATAACAGATTGGGTCATCATCAAACAAACATAACAACTCTGACTACTCTCCACCCAAAAGAAGATCAACATGAAGAATTAAACCACCTGCCTACCTTGATATATATCAACACTTATTCCATCCTTCACACACAAACTCAGTAATCACATCAGTTAGCACGTTAGCACATCTGAGCATCAAAATACCCCATTTCATCTTATCAGTCAATTGATTCTTTGTCTGCATCATGTTGATACATTCATGTTTTACTGCATCAATTTCATTCTTAAATGAACCCAAAACTTGTTCTGAAGCTGCAAAAGATTCCTTATGACAAGCAGCTATGAGAAAAGAACTTTGAACAAACTAATCCTTGGATATTAACACCTTTACCTAAGGACAAACATTGCATATGCTGCAAATGGGTCTTTTAAATAAAATATAAGTTTGATGGCAATGTAGAAAAATATAAGGCTTGATCAGTAGTTAAAGGGTATACACAAGAAAAGTTATAGATTAGTTTGAAACTTTTTCTCCTGTTGCCACAAAATTACCACTGTCAGATTCCTTGTTGCATTTCCATCCATAAAAAATTGGCATATTCATCAACTTATTGTAAATGCATTTTTCCATGGTGATTAAGATGAAAAAGTATATATGAAACCTCCTCCTGAAACATAATTATAATAGAGTTTGCAAATTAATTAAAAGCCTTTATGGATTAAAACAGGCTTCTAGATAATGGTTCCATAACCTTACTCAATTCCTTATTGCTTATGGTTTCACTCAATTGCTGATTATTCTTTGTTTACCATGCAAACTGATTCTTCCTTTACAACCTTGTTAACCTTGATAGTATATGTTACTATATGTTGATGATATTATTTTGACTGAAAATAGCTTAGCTCACAATTAAGGATCATCTTGACTCCTGTTTAACTAAAAAAAAACTTGGCACATTAAAATATATTCTAGGTTTCGAGTTTGCTCACTCTGACAATGGCATAAACATTTGTCAAAGGAATATAGTTGTTAGCGACAATTGTAGATGCAAAGTACTATTTTATCCCAATGTAACCCAAGATATATAACACAGCTAACACATCATGTAACCCTAATTTTTTCCATTCTACCGAACACATTTTTTTCTTCTTCTTCTTCTTCAACTCTCCTGCTGCTCTCTCGATCTCTCTTTAATTCTCTTGCTCATTAACTCCGTAGTCCAACATAATATAAGGTTCCAATTACCATGTTTTATCCCATACTTGAAATGCATGGCTCTTGTACTTATCCAAAAGATGTATACTTTACTGCAGAAGTTTGATTAATTCCTCATTCACCAAAAATTAGCATTTACTAAATCTAGCAAAACTAAAATCATGAGTCCATGATGTAAAATACATTCTAATTCCCTGTTGTTCACACGCAAGCGAAGCACAATAAATAATCAATCTAACACATCAATAAAAAAATCAACTTTAGCAACCGAAATTTCCAACGAACCTAAGTTTCATGAACACAAAATGGGGAAAGGAAACACGACAAAAGGGAGTGTCAATTTCATTCCACCAACTGTTATTTAAAATATATTAAAGGAAAAGGGAGCTAATCCATCTCACGAAACTGCAGATCATATTAAGACATGGATTAACAGAGGAAAACGCAGCCAAAAAAGGAACATCACACAAAAGAAAACGAAGATAAAATTATAATTTACCACAGAAGCTGATACCAGAAGTTTGTCAGAAAATCGAAACGGAAGACTCAGATTTGGATGGGGTTCGGCAAAATCGATGATCCCTTGAAACCCCTGGCCAATTTGACCACAACAGCTTCAGTTTTCGGACAGTGGCTTCAGAAGGAAATGTGGGGATTGCGAGTATTGCGATTAGTATGATATTTGTGATTGTTCACAGTGCGATGGAGATGTGGGGTTGACTGGTTGGGTGTATAATATAAAATATTAAGAAAAGAGAGAATTTTACTTTTGGTATTTAAGGTTTATATGTTTTTTATATTTAGTACCTGTAATTTTATCTTATTAAATTTATTATTTTAAAATTTATATAGTTGATATAGCATCCAAAATAGCTTGGTGACTCAGTCTAAGTGATTAGCTCAGATACAGCCGGTCTAATGGAGCTTTAGCTCGATGCCTACGATTTAAAGATATATCATATTAGTTAAATACCTATAAATATTTAGGAAACATTCCTAAGAGATATCCAATCAAGCTTGTGTATATCTGGATTATACTCATTGGTTATTGTTCGTTAATTATTTTCGTTATCCGCAAGTGTACAGAGTAGCTTTAGCAAGCGGCGAGCAATGTTGTATTCCATATAAATTGTAATTAAATTAATTAAATACTAAAATAATAATGATTAAATATTATATAGACTAATGAATCTGGATGATGATAACAAACTAATAAATTAAACTAACAACTTATTTATCTAAGAAATAAAGACTTGATCTAAATTATAGAAATAAACAAGATACGAAAGATAGATTTTAAGTAAGATACGAAAGATAGATTTTAAGTTAAGCATTCTTCTTTATTAATTCATGATACGTTTAAATTCATTCAAACCTTATTTAATTTTACCAATCATAGAGATAATCGCTAAATTAATTTAATCTTTCTCTCAAACAAGTTAAATAGTAGATTAATTGTTATCTATCTCTTATCGGTCTCAAGATGAAGAACTAACTCCATAAAATCTTTGGATTTTTTCGTTCTCTCGTAAGATCCTATCAACCTCTCGGTTTATTTATTCTCTTACACTATAAATTTCTCAATTCAATCTCTTACACTATAATTTCTCAATTCAAGCAATCAATTATCTTCTCTCGATATCAAATCGATCACAAATACGCGTTTATAGTGATCATCTACTCATACAATAAAAATAAATACAAGAAATTTATAAACGAAAGATAAAACATAATGAAAGCAATAAAAAACTATATCATAATCAATCTGAGTACTAACAAATCCTAAAATCTAAGATGAAACTATCATATTAACATGTTTTCAATAAAAAAAATAAATATAAAACATTAAGTTCTAAAGATAAAAGAAAAAAAAAATGACAAGGTTTATTCTGCTTCGTCAATCTCTTCTAGCCTCATTTACAATCTCTTCTAGCCTCACTTACGACTGCTGCTGGAGAGGTTGGCGGAGGAGCATGATATATGGTAGGCGAGGACTTTTTTGTCCACCATAAATAGGGAGACAACGAGGGCCAAAATTGCTGCCGGAAGGAAGGAGATGAGGTGCTCCACATGACTGATGGCGTTGCTCTACTCCGTGGAGGCGGCGACGGTTTGAGAAAGGGTTTGTCCATTGAGAGAAAAAATAGTATGATGAGCGAAAGGAAAAGGGTTTCTTTCAGATAAGATATCAGTCAAGAAAAAATTTTTAGCTTAACAATTAAGCTAACACAACGACGTGTTCGAGCGTAAAATGGTGACTGGCGAAGGAAGGGCAATGAAAGGGCACGTTCATCACAACAGATTTTCAGGGCATCATATCCAACAAAATATAGCCGTTTCGGATGAGATCATACCTGTCTTCCAAGGGCATTCTAGTAATTTCACATTCAAAACCAGTGGCACCATTCGTAAAAATAGCTGAAATTGAAGAGCATTTACGTCGGAACAAAATGCCACGTGTCATCCCTCACATTTTTCCTTATTTGTCTAGGAGAGGTATTCTGATATTCTCCATAAAGACCACACAACCTTCGTCCATCTCCATAACACGAAAAAATGGCGGCGGCAGCAGCAGCAAAAGGACCTTGCCTCAATCATATTTCCAGAGAATCCCCTGACATCCAACGCCTCGCCAACTTCTACGTCGAGGTTCAATTCAATTTCTGTTTATAAAGAAAATATCTTACCGTTCTTTCCTTTTACCTTATGGGATTGAAAATCCTTAAATAGCTACTCCATCTTTGGAACCTTTTTCTGCTTCCTTTTTCGAAATTGAGATGCGAAATGGTGGTTTTTTTTTTTTATTTGTTAGGTATTTGGCTTTGAGGAAGTTGAGAGCCCGAAATTCGACTTCGGGGTGATATGGCTGAAATTGGGTTCTTCTTTGTACCTTCACCTAATTGAAAGGGACCCTAATACGAAGCTTCCAGAAGGCCCATCGAATTGTTCTGCATCAGCCGTGGCGGACCCTAAGAACCTTCCCAGGGGACACCATCTCTGCTTTTTTGTCCCAAATTTCGATTCCTTTGTTCAGACCCTTAAGGTCAGCTTATTTTACTGTGAAATTCACTTCTTCTCAGTTTTCTTCTAGCAGTAGCTTATATTATTTACTGTTTTGTTCTGTGAATAAAACTTTGGGTAACAAGATCTGGTTTTTAGAGTTTATCTTAAATGGCTATTGTTGAGTCAAAATGGGAAGGCGGTGCCCATTTCATTTGACAAGCAGCAAATGAATAAAAAAGAAGGAAGCTTCATTTTGTTGAAAAATGAGTACGCATTTGTGGAAAATTTGATGCAATTTTTTCTCTATAAATAGAGGAACAAATGTTAAGAGGAAAACACAACGAAAAGAACCAACACAAAGAAAGAAAGAGAGAGAAATAGAGTGAATAAGAAGCAAAAAATTTAGCTTCTGTGTGTATTTGTGTTGTGAGTTGTGAGTGAGTTTTGAGAGTGTTTTGTAAACACGAGTGTATTTTCTTTTTCTCAATAAAATATCTGCAGTAGTCCGGAGACGTAGGCATTATTGGCCGAACTCCGTTATCAATTTGGTGTGTCCAATTTTTATTTTTATTTCACTTTTATAGATCCGACTTCATGGAAAATTCAGCGTATTTTTCCCAACAACTGGTATCAGAGCCAGATTGTTAATTCTGTATTTTTTTGTGTGGTGTTACTATTCCGTTGAAAAAAGTGAATAGTACCAATTTTGTCGGCGCTACAATTTATCTACGGACGTGTTTTAAAACACGGTAGTTCACAAAAAATTACAGAAACGATCCGGCAGAGAAGTCAGATCAGAGTCGAAGTGATGGCTGCAGACGAAGGAAAAATAAAAATTGAAAAGTTCGATGGTGCGGACTTTGGTTTTTGGAAGATGCAGATCGAGGATTATCTGTACCAAAAGAATATGTATCAACCACTCACAGGAAAGAAGCCAGAGGACATGAAGGAGGATGAATGGAGTCTCCTTGACAGACAAGCTCTTGGAGCCATCCGGCTGACGTTATCCCGTAATGTTGCTTTTAACATTGCAAAAGAAAAGACGACAGCAGGCCTCATGAAGGCTCTTTCCAACATGTACGAGAAACCATCAGCCTCAAACAAAGTTCATTTGATGAGGCGATTGTTCAACCTGCGGATGACCGAAGGTGCTTCGGTAGCACATCATCTCAATGAGCTCAACACCGTCACAACCCAGTTGAGTTCAGTTGAGATCGAGTTCGATGATGAAGTACGGGCTTTAATACTTTTGTCTTCCCTACCAGAAAGTTGGAACGCTACGGTCACGGCTGTGAGTAGCTCATCGGGAAGCAATAAGTTGAGATTTGATGATGTCCAAAATTTGGTTCTCAGTGAAGAGATCCGGCGGAGAGAGTCGGGTGAACCATCGACCTCTTCTGTATTGCATACAGAGTCAAGAGGAAGAAGTTCAACCAAAGAAAGCAGACACAACAAATCAAAAGGAAGAAGATCCAAGTCCAGAAATCATCGTAGTTCCCAAACCTCGAAGTCGATCGAGTGCTGGAATTGTGGGAAGACCGGGCACTACAGAAACCAGTGCAAGAGTGCACCGAAGGGTCAGGAGGCAAAAGAAGAGGCAAATATTGCTTCAGCCTCTGGAGGAGATTCGCTGATATGTTCTTTAGAGAACAAGGATGAGTCTTGGGTGTTAGACTCTGGAGCATCCTTTCATGCTACCTCACAGAAGGAACTATTCGAAAATTATGTTCCTGGTAACCTTGGTAAAGTTTACCTTGGTAATGAGCAATCATGTGAGGTTGTAGGGAAAGGTGCAATAAAAATCAAGCTGAGCGGGTCTGTATGGGAATTGAAAAATGTTAGACATATTCCCGACCTGACGAAGAATTTAATCTCCGTGGGCCAGCTAGCCAGTGAAGGCTACACGACAATCTTCCATGGTGATGATTGGAAGATTTCAAAGGGTGCGATGACAATTGCTCGAGGCAAAAAGAGTGGTACTCTTTACAAGACCACAGGAGCATGTCATCTGATTGCAGTTGCAGCAAATGAAAGTCCCAATCTATGGCACCAAAGACTTGGGCATATGAGTGAAAAAGGGATGAAGATCATTCACTCAAAAGGAAAATTACCAGGCCTCCAGTCAATAGAAATTGACATGTGTGAAGGTTGTATACTTGGAAAGCAGAAGAGAGTCAGCTTTCAAACAAGTAGAAGAACTCCAAAGAAGGAGAAGCTTGAGCTCGTCCACTCTGATGTTTGGGGTCCAACCACTGTCCCATCCGTTGGTGGGAAGCAATACTTCGTGACTTTTATCGATGATCACTCCAGAAAAGTATGGGTTTACTTTCTGAAACACAAGTCAGAAGTATTTGAAGCTTTCAAGATTTGGAAAGCTATGGTGGAAAATGAGACAGGCTTGAAGATCAAGAAGCTCAGATCCGACAATGGTGGTGAATACGTAACAACCAGATTCAAGAAGTTTTGCTATGAGCACGGGATCAGAATGGAGAGAACCGTGCCTGGTACGCCTCAACACAATGGTGTAGCTGAGCGTATGAATCGAACGTTGACTGAAAGAGCCAGAAGCTTGCGTGTGCAGTCAGGCCTACCAAAGCAGTTCTGGGCAGAAGCAGTCAACACAGCAACTTACTTGATCAACCGAAGTCCATCGGTACCACTGGATCACAAGTTACCAGAAGAGGTATGGAGCGGAAAAGAAGTAAAACTCTCACATCTTAGAGTTTTCGGGTGTGTAGCATATGTGCACATCAGTGATCAAGGTAGAAACAAACTTGATCCAAAATCAAAGAAATGTACTTTCCTTGGTTATGGTGAAGATGAGTTTGGCTACCGCATATGGGATGATGAAAACAAAAAGATGATCCGCAGCAGAGATGTCATCTTTAATGAAAGAGTGATGTACAAGGACCGGCATAATACAGGTGCCAGCAACTCAGAAGCGAGTGGGCCAGTTTATGCTGAGGTGGAAGATATCCCAGACAGTCCTATAATGAGGAGTCCTCAGTCAGAGGAATCAAATGAAGAAAGTGATGTGCAATCAGAACCTCCTACTCCAGCTCCTGTATTGAGAAGGTCCTCTCGGCCCCATGTGCCTAACAGGAGATACATGGACTACATGCTGCTGACTGATGGAGGGGAGCCTGAAAGTTACATGGAAGCTTGTCAAACCACAGATGCTAGCAAGTGGGAGCTTGCCATGAAGGACGAGATGAAGTCCTTGATCTCAAATCAGACATGGGAACTAGTCAAGTTACCTATGGGAAAGAAAGCACTTCACAACAAATGGGTGTATCGGGTGAAGGAAGACCATGATGGTTCCAGGAGATACAAAGCCCGACTGGTTGTCAAAGGATTTCAGCAGAAAGAAGGAGTTGACTATACTGAAATCTTTGCTCCAGTTGTAAAGCTCAATACTATCAGGACGGTGTTAAGTATTGTGGCTAGTGAAGAGCTCTACCTAGAGCAATTAGACGTGAAGACTGCATTTCTTCACGGAGACCTAGATGAGGAGATCTATATGCACCAGCCTGAAGGATTTTCAGATGGAAAGAAGGATATGGTGTGCAAATTGAAGAAGAGCTTGTACGGCCTGAAACAAGCTCCAAGACAGTGGTATAGGAAGTTCGAAAGCTTCATGCACAAGGAAGGTTTCCAGAAGTGCAATGCTGATCACTGTTGTTTCTTTAAGAAGTATGAGTCCAGCTATATCATCTTGCTACTTTATGTCGATGACATGTTAGTAGCAGGATCAGATATGAAAGACATCAGAAAATTAAAGATGCAGTTGTCAAAAGAATTTGACATGAAGGACTTAGGCCCAGCAAAGAAGATTCTTGGAATGCAAATCACGAGAGATAAGCAAAAGGGAGTTTTGCAGTTATCTCAGGCAGAGTACATCAACCGTGTTTTGCAGAGATTTAACATGGACAAGGCTAAGCCAGTCAGTACACCTTTGGCCAGCCATTTTCGTCTATCCAAGGATCAGTCTCCTCAAACAAAAGAAGAAGAAGAGTTCATGGCTAAGATTCCTTATGCTTCAGCCATTGGAAGTTTGATGTACGCGATGGTCTGTACGAGGCCAGACATTGGCCATGCAGTGGGAGTTGTGAGCAGGTTTATGTCAAAACCAGGAAAAGCTCATTGGGAAGCAGTCAAATGGATTTTGAGATATCTACGGGGCACAACAGAAAAATGTCTGTACTTTAGAAAAGGAGATCTAAAGTTACAGGGCTACGTAGATGCAGACTTTGGAGGTGAAGTTGATCACCGAAGAAGTACCACCGGTTATGTTTTCACTGTCGGAGCTACAGCTGTTAGTTGGATGTCGCGGATACAAAAGATTGTTGCTCTATCCACTACAGAGGCTGAGTATGTAGCAGTGACAGAAGCCAGTAAAGAATTGATATGGCTTCAAGGATTGTTAGCAGAGTTGGGTTTCACTCAAAAAGAGAGTGTCTTGCACAGTGACAGTCAGAGTGCAATACATCTGGCAAAGAACTCAGTGTTTCACTCCAGAACTAAGCACATTGACATACGATATCATTTCATCAGATCTCTTCTCGAGGATGAAGTGTTGACTTTGAACAAGATTGTAGGAAGCAAGAACCCAGCAGATATGCTAACGAAGGTGGTGACCATTGACAAACTGAAGTTGTGCTCAACTTCAGTTGGCTTGCTAGAATAACAGACCGGAGAAGACTACTGCAGTAATTGAGGTGTGAGGACAGATTGAAATCAGTCCTCAAGTGGGAGATTGTTGAGTCAAAAATGGCTGCAAGCCACTTTCTTGGACAAGCACACAATGAAAGAAAAAAAGGCATCAAACATGTGTTGGAAAATTTGCAGCCGGTGGGTTGCTGAAATATGTGGAAAAATTGAGTACACCTTTGTGGAAAAATTGTGCAATTCCCCCTCTATAAATTGAGGGGAATTCTCATGAGCAAAGCACCACAACAAAGAAAAACACAAGAGAGATAAAAAAGAGAGTGAGCTAAAAATAATTTAGCATTTGTGTGTATTTTTGAGTTGTGAATTGTGAGTGGTTTCGAGAGTGTTTTGTAAACACGAGTGTATTTTCTTTTTCTCAATAAAATATCTGCAGTAGTCCGGAGACGTAGGCATTATTGGCCGAACTCCGTTATCAATTTGGTGTGTCCAATTTTTATTTTTATTTCACTTTTATAGATCCGACTTCATGGAAAATTCAGCGTATTTTTCCCAACAGCTATACGAATCGTGCTTTGGAAGTGTGATTTTGAGTTGTATTCTTTACCAAATGCCAAGTTGCAGAGCTGTCAAAGTTGCTTTAGTTACTTGCTAATTCTTTGAACAAAACGAAACACTGACAATAGTTTAGTGATCAGCAAATCGGCTAATTTAGTGATCGTATGATTATCTTTTCAATAATATAGAAGTAATTACATTATCATCCCCATGTTCCTCAGGTACAAACAACTTCTTAATCTGATATTTTTCGATATGGATGTGCATCAGTAATTGCAATTTTGTCGACGAGCATTAGTTTGGATTAGGCTTCTGTTTTGAGCTGTTAGCTTATCGGTGTATAATTGTATTAGAAAGAGCTATAATTTCTTTGTACCAAGTCAAACCATTTATATAAGATTGAATCATAGAGCTACTTTCTATCTCAGACATAAAGGATCAGTTTCGCCATCTTCACTTTTTCACCATGTCCTACAGTAAATTTCCCCTGATTATTTTTTTTTCCTTAGGAGAAAGGAATTGAAATACACGAGAAGACTCAACCAGATGGGAAGACAAAACAGGCCTTCTTCTTTGACCCCGACGGTTAGTTTTCGTTACATTATTTTACCTGCATTTCCATTGCAATTTTTTTTTTTTTTTTTACTGTAAATAAATAAATTTTTTGTCAAACCATGTACTGGAATACTTCATCATATCTTACCTCTTAGGAGTTAAAGTGATTGCTTTGTCTCGCTTGAAATGGAGCAACCTCTTCTATAATGACCTTCCATTTAGAATTGGGTATTTATGTTTGAGCTAATTGTAATTCCTCAACTTCTACGCCGTAAAATGCAGGTAATGGGTTGGAGGTATCTAGCCAGAGTCCGGTTTTTTAAATCAGGCACTTTTTGTGTATATTATATGCACTGCATATGCAAGTACTAAATAAATTGTCACCAACACCTGATGTTAGGTTTCGAATAGTAATATATGTATATTATATGTTGTCTCTCGTGCAGTTCTTCAAATTTGCGGTTTCTTTAATTTTTTTTAAGGTTTCGTTATTGAAAAAAATAATAAGAAAATAAAGGATCTCATGGATCACAAGGTTTTTTTAAGGTTTGTAATCTCATGTCTGAGACCACGCACCTGAAGCTACGATTTTGGGGGTTATATATGGTGCTCCAAGCCTGAAGTTCAATTCAACCACCACGTTGATCATGTTCATCTAAGAAAGATCAGCTGTGGTTTTCTATGTCTAAGTTATTTGTTAATTAATCAATCATTTATTTCATTGCGATTTTCCAAATTTTAAATACTTGTGGTTTTTANTTAAATAAATCTGTATATATTTTCATGAAACAAATATAATGAATAATGTATTTTTACAGATTTGAAAAATCGTAATCAATTAGTTAGTTGAAAGAAATATCAAATTTCCTTTTATACATTAACTAGTACGTACTCCTGCGATGTACGGGAGAGATATATTAAATGAATTATTTTCACAGGCTCTGTCCGTTTAAGTCTGAAAAGGGTTATCATTCATTTTTTACCTCTTTTAATCACCGTTAAGTCCCGTTTAAGTCTGAAAAGGGTCATCATCCATTTTCTACCTCTTTTAATCACCGTTAAGTCTAAAAAAATAAGTTGTAATCTATTTTTCACATCTTTTAATCAGCGTTGTTTTATTAGTCAAAACATTAAACGTGAGCATGATAGGGCTAACTTGTAAAATAATTAATATATTATCTCACTAACACATTTATACTAATATAAATTTAACTTTATTATATATATTTATTCCTTGATATAAGAGAAAATAACAATTTTACTTATTCTTGTTCACTATATAATAGTTAATTATTATTTTACTATAAACTCTGTTGCCATATAATGTCATTATTATTTATAAAGTTATAGAAGTTGCACGTCTTCTTGTTCTTTTTATTTTATGTAATGAAATATATTTAATGCACGTTGGTATTGTTTATATAAGTAATCAATTTAAAATATATAAATAAATTCAAAATTAAATAGTGTATAAATAATGTACAAAGTATACACATAATTTTTTTTAGAATTTAATTTTGTATACTAATTAAACAACTTTGATTTAAGAAAAGCCATGAACTCAATCTCTTCTAATATCAATATTTTTCTAATTTGCATTATAATGATTATTCTTATTATATATAGATTAGAATTTTTGCGACACCAACCAAACTAAATATCACAACAACCAAGTAATAATTATGAAAAACCCATAACACAACAACTATCAGTTAAATTTGGTAATAGAAAAATTACATACATATATATAAAAATATGAGGATTCTATATTTCTATTAATTGATGTATACAATACGTGTATATTTTGTTAATGTATATTGGAATGTTCAATTTCATAGCATGATAACAAAGTCTTAAAAAATCGAAAATTTTATTGAAATGCCATATTTTTTTGTTAAAAAAAATGTTTCCATAAAAAGTAATTATATCATAGAAAATTCATTGTGTAATTGAACTAATTTCTATAATGAAGCTCGATTTTTTGTACAAAAATAAAGCAACAACTTTCACATTCTAAGGAAATCAATTAATGTTCGTCCGTTTTTGCTAAGAAAATAATAAATAAACAAATTGTAATTAATGGAAAGTAATTAATGATGAGAGAATTTGACCATATAGTTGACCTACCATTTTTTAAAAATGGTAATTCTTATTATATATATATATACATATATCAGTTAAATAAAATATTAATATCGAAATTGTAATGACATTTAATGCAGTTGACTTTCTAGATACTAAATGTAGTAAATAGGATCCCCTTTTATATAAGTATAGATGCAGAATATTCCGGTAGTACATATGACTTCCAGTGTTTAGTTATGGTATATGTCAATTTATAACTTTTGGTGCTTCGCAATTGTATGTGTCAATTTTTGGTGTTTCGGAGTAGTTCAGATTCTATCATATTAGCACTTTTAAAATTATAAAACAACTGACTAATACAAATTATAATTATATCTAAAAGTTAACAATTTTTTTCTTTGTTGTTAGTTTTTACATAAAATATATTAAATTGACCATCTTTCGACGAGCTCCGATTTGATACCTAACTTGCATATATAACATTATATATAATTTTATGTTTATTTATTATAAAATTAAATCATCTATTCATGCTTATTAACAATTAATAAAATTATGTATCGATTAAAAAAGTAATCTATATTCATTATAAAATAATTAGAATATTTTTTTTATAATACGGAACAAACATTCTAACCTCCAATGGAACGACAAATCTCTCTTATATCTTAACTATGTAGATGTCTTTCAATGCACTTGCATCCTGACAAATTTTCATCTCACCGGGTTTTGTAAGATCTTTTTCTGGCGGTCGTCTCTAATATCCATCCAGGGCCGGATTTGCCGCCTCTTCTTCGATCAATGCCTACATTTCTCTAATGTCACTCATACTACACCCCTTACCTGGCCAGTCCCGTCGGCCTCCAATGCAGCATTCAGCGAGTCCATGTCATAATCACTATTTAAAGAGAAAAAAGAAAGTTAAAGTACCTGCTCAATGAATTTTAAGATGTGCTGTTTCGCCGGATAATGTACCTTGGCTTTGTTCTTCATTTGACGAAATTTGAATTCAAAAAATGTGAAATATTTTTTAGAGGTGCAATCCCCTATTTATAGGAATGATTGCGGTTCTTCAATCATTACACCTAGTCGATTTTAAGGCACGAAGCCCAACGATCAAGTTGATCATGTCGATTTATGTTAGGAGCTGCTAGTTGACACCTTCTCACACCAGCACATGTGCTTTCATTTCTGAAAAGACGCACCTATCCCAAAAACGTCTTGTCATCTCTCTCCTCATTAAATGTTTTAGCCGAAAAGCCACTTTCGCATGTCTTTTTTAAACAAACAATGTTCCCTTTTTGGAAGGTTTCAAAGCCTTTTTTTACAATCTCACACGTAAGAAACCACCAAAAGTTCAATAGATTAGTAGACAACTTCCTCGGCACATGTCGATCCGCTGATTCCCCATGCACCCGGAAAACTTGTGGCCTCCTTGTTGTACATAAATTATTGCATGTTACACTAATGATTCTAGGCCGACCTTTTAAGCGAAGAGACACGTTACTCACAATGGAAATTGGACTCATGTCGGTTTAGACCCAAGTAATGAAAGAAAAATCCCAAGAATCTACATGACCAGTCTTGTGTCGATCTACATCCGAGCTTGAACGAAGATCTACTAGCCAATACCTTTTGCTATCGTCTCTGCAATGTGAATAAGAAATGGTAAAACAAACCAGTAAAGCGATCGTCCAAACGGTCTCATCATCAAAAGTCGGGTTTTTGCCTGGGGACGCGTCACTCCCCCACACCCTTAATTGGCATGTTTTCATCATTGTCTTCCTACTTTTTTAGTGTATAAATTCAGCACTTAAGGCTTCAGAATGGATATCAAGAATTCATTAATAAAATACTCATACCATCTTTCCTTGATTAGCTTGAAATCTTCCTAAATAGGTAAACCGTCATTCATTATCCCTTTAATTACGGTTTAAAACCACTCCTTTGATTATGGTTGACGTTTAACGTCACCACCTCTCATTGGAGAACCTTAGATCACCTGCTCGCCAGTGACTAGCGCATTGTAAATCCGTTGATTGGCGTGTCATAGATCACTTGCTCGATTCTGATTGGCACGTTGTAGACCCACTGATTGGGCGACGTAGGTCCACTGATTGACGTGTTTTATATCTATTGATTGGCTCGCCGTAACTCGTCGTTGATTGGCGTGCCATAGAAGATGTGCTCGCCGATGATTGCTAAGGTGTAGATCTCAAACAAAGAGTTCATAGCTCAATCAAACAAAAGAGTTCATTACTCACTCTTATATAAGAGCTCAAAGCAAAAAATATTGTAATAAACAAAAGAATATTTCATTTTAAAAAATCTTTTACAATGTAAAAAAAGAGTCATTCAATGATTTTATTTGAAAAAGACTCTTAATTCAATCATACAATATATGTATTGGATGAAAGTATGTATATACCATGAAGAATCTGACAATAAAATATTTATTGTATTCTGTTATAAAATGTTAAGACAATATTTTTAATTATCTTATTACTATATCTTCATTTTATTTGTGTAAGATGAATGCCCTAATTGATTACATTTGTTTTTACATATATTTTTCAAGAAAATCACGGTACTCTTTCGGTGGTTTATTATAGTGATGACAATTAAATATTTCAGACAAATAAATTTTATGTGCTTTTAAAGATAAATTTTTACGTGATTTTTTAATCACTTCAAACTAATAAACAATCATATATGTTGCAAATATGTAGTTTTATTGTGCAGATAATGTAGAATGATCTTACTTTATAAAATTAATTTTTAAAATGAGATTTATAAGATAAAGTTGGAGTGGGATAAAAGAAAAAAGAAAAACGGATGCCTAGGATAACACGGTAAGCATTGGAGCCATGCTGTCCAACTGCAGCACCGCCACCTCATCTCGCTCCTCAACTCAACTCCCAATTTTTATTTTTATATAGATAAAGCTCCAATCATTCATCCACAATTCAATTCACACCAAAAAGCAAACACAATTATCCGCTAAAACAATTTTGCATCACCATCATCATGAGTCAGGAAAAGCCAACAAAGAAACAGGATGAGCCACAACCCATCAAATACGGCGACGTTTCAAGGTCTCAAGCAAGCTCGCCTGAAAACCCATCGCCCCAGCCGACGCCTCCATGATGCAGGCAGCGGAGACCACCATGTACGGACAAACCTATAAGGGCGGCCCTGCCGCCGTCATGCAGGCTGCCGCCAGTCATGAACAAAATCAGAAAATTAATTGAGAAGGGGCAAAAGACATGACATAAACAAGTTGGCCTACCAAGTGACTTTTGAAAACAAAAAATATGAGGTTGGGGGTGCAAAAATAAATTTTAGAGTGGGGCAAATTAAAATTTTTAATATTAATAGTTAAAAAAATAAAATTTGAGGGGGGTAATTATTCATATATGTAGAATTGCCCCTGCCGCCACCCGCAACAAGAAGGCCGGCCTCGTCGGCCACCGAGAAGCCTCCGATTTTGCCGCCAAGGAAGGCGTGACAGTTTCCGAAACCGATTTCTCTGGGACTCGCATAGTCACTGAATCTGTTGCCGGACAGGTTCTTTTTTCTTTTATTTTAAGTTAATTCTAAATTAATGCCTAGTTTATATTCGGCAAAATTGTATTGTTAGTCGTCTAGCAATTTTAGTCTCTAAGTTTTAATATTTTGTTTGTTCATTTTATGATATTAATATTTTGCTGTAATTTCAGTCATTTGAGGACTGAAAACTCAATAAAATTCTAAATTTTTAGATTTTCGATTAGCAATTTGAGTCCTGTAATTTAGAATTTTGTTGCAATTTCAATCCTGTAACGAACGAAGTAAAGCGCAGTTCAGTCATAGAATTTTTTATTTTTTTTTCTTCTTGTTTAAAACTTTCTATTATATTAAATCCCAGGAACATAAGCGAAATGTTGAAATCTTAAAAATCTTTCTTAAAAATCTTATGACTAAAATTGCTTTGACCTTAAATTAAACGGACTAAAAATGTATTTTTGCATTTATATTAATTTTTGTAAAATAATATTTTTTTTAATAGATTATGGGGCAGTATGTGGATGCAAAACCTTTGTCGGGGCAGAAGGCAAAGGTAACCATAGGAGAAGCCTTAGAGGCAGCCGCCCGAGTAGGCGGAGATAAGCCGGTCGACCAAGAGTGATGCCGCTGCTATAATGGTGGCAGAATGCTGAGCTACCGGTTCTAATGAGATTTCTCCTGGCGGGCTTGCTGCCACTGCCCAGTCGGCTGCTGCCTTCAACACCGGTTTGATTGGGGACCAAGGCAAAGTGAAGCTTGCCGAGATCTTATCAGTAATTAAACTTTTTTGCACATTAATTAATTATCTAATTACCGTATATTTCAAAATTCTTGATTTTTGATGATAGGCTAAGTACGTGTTTGTATACAAATATTTTCGCTTAAAATGAGTTTTCTCGGTTAACCAGACTTAGTTTTGAAAAAAAAAAAAGTAGTATGATTTGTTGTTAGTGGGATTTTGATTTTATACTATTATAATATTTAAAATATTATAATATTTAAAATAAATAATTAAAGTTGATTTGATATAAATGTAAGAGAGACATGATTTGAAATGATAGTTGGTTAAAATTATGTGAGTGAATTGAATAGTAAATTAAAGTTGATGTTATGTGTAAGAATGATGAGTTAATATTATTGAATTATATTGATAAGTAATTATTTTGTATCCTAGGGGGCTAGGAAAAAACTTGGGGCGGACAAGGTGGCTACCCGTGAAGATGCGGAGGGTATTACGGCTGCAGTGTTGAGGAATGATCCGAATGTGGTGGTGCGGCGTGGCGGCAGAAGTGATGGAGGCGGTGAAGATGAACGAGGAGAAGGGTTCGGCGGTCAAGTAAAAAGATCAGTTAATTTAAGTAAAAATAATGCACGCTTGCGTGTAGAATAGTGATTTAAGGGAATGTATGCGGGAGGTGTATAGTAAGTATTGGACAAGGTGCAGAAGTTATCCAGTACTGTTGAATAATAACATGCATGTTTGGTAATGTACTTTGTATGACTGGTTTTCTTGTTTGCTTAAAATATGTAGGGTGGTTTTTCGAAGAAAATTGGAGATTGTGTTGATTTTGTAAAATGCTAAAAAAAATCTGAATTTAACTAAGTCTGTAAAAGTTGCTCAATGTAACAGTTTTTTGAGTTGGATGTATTAGTCGGCGTGTACGAAAAAACATGCCCCGTGTCATATTGATCGGTTTTTTTGGTAGAAGAACTTAAATTTATTTATTTATTTATTTATTTATTTATTTATTCTTGTTTTTCAGTTGCAAGGTGTTGTAAAATAAACGTAACTGCCGGTGCTACTATTCAAACTACTAGTCTCAATATTAAAGTTTGGAGATCAAGAACAAAACAGGTAAATTTTACCTCGAATGTGTTTGTAGATTAGAATCAAGTTTTTTAGTTTGAATAAGTTTTCTGAAATTGAATTTGATTTGGCTTTGGTCAAACTCTTAGAAATTTAAAGGACTTGAATTTTAGAGGGAAAATTAAAATATCCAAACCTTACTTCAAAGGCTCAAATTTTGGATAATTATCAAAATTTTCTTCTCATTCACGTCCTCGATGCATCTCTCCGACACCCCTGCAGCCACGGTTGTCTGTGTCGTGGAGTTCTCATGAAACAAAGTGGGAGTTCTCATGAAACAAAGTTTTCTCAATGGTGAAGAGTTGTTTTGATCGGCCATTTTCTCGTGAGCCGAATTTGATTCTCTTGAAGGACCTGAAGGACCTGAAGCTAGTCTTGAACGACGCCACATTACTGTTGACGCTGGGGATATTATCATTGTAAAAAATTCTCCAACTTTTTTTTTGTGGTATTCATATACTTATGATGACTATGCAAATCTGTAGGTGTATGTCTTGTTTATATGCAATGCCTAATGGTTGTATGTGTCGACTGTGAAAACTCAAGCTCGAGATTTTTATTCAGACGTCATATCTTATGAGATAATATTATCTTTTTTATATGTGGGTTTAGTCCTTTGTACATCTCATTTTGATTCAGACATTTTTCTTGAAAATCTCACAGTTGCTAAACTTGTGAAACATGTTTTGCGTTATGGGTAGATGCTTTTTGGATGATACTCTTAATTTCATTCGATCACAGGTGATAATTAACCGTCTTTCAACAATTCGTGTGGTCGCTAATGATTGTTATATTGAAATGCAGATGAACCTATCAGTCGTAATTCTTTAAGTGAATTGATATAAATATTACTATTTGCTAGAGTAGATGCGTTAAATTTGAAAGATTGGTCTCTGTTTGAATATCTGTCTCTATTCGAAAGATTTGGTATAATTGGTATAATTTGCTCTTTGCTGTGGATGTGGGCTTCGAGCTTCAGTTGGAGCTTGATCGGATGCTCTTGGTGTTTAATGATTGTAGAGATCTTCTTAAAACTCTCTGTTTTGGCTGATGCAGAACACTTCAAGGGCAGAAAATTTTTGTCACATAATATCGCTAAATGGGCGATAGAAAATCACTCTTCCTGGGTATTGTGTGATTCTCTTCCTATTTTCTTACCATGTATGCTATATGTTAGTTTTTATTTAAATAAAAAAGTTATTATATATACTTAACTTATGAAGTTGTATATGAAGTCTAACTTTGTTTTAATTAATATTTACGATTTCCCAAATTCTATCGTCGAGCGCTATAAAAAGACTATTTCTAACGAAAAACCAAACGGTAAAATATTTCAATAAAAATTGAAACACATATTCTAATTGTATAGCTTTCGCTGAAAAAATTATTTCAACGGTAATATTCCTTTTGAATGAGTTTTCTATTGAAATTTTAGTTGGAATTGATAATTCCAATGGCCATTTCCAACGGTTTATTGCCGTAGGAATTTTCGTTGAAATTTTTATTTTGAGTCATATATCAAAAGTCGGAAAATTAGTCGTTTGAATATTTAAAATCCAACTAAAATTTCAATGGAAAACTCATCCCAATGAAATATTTTTGATGGAATTTTCGTTTGAATCCATTTAAAAATGCCATCGGTAACAACAACATTAGAATATCTATTAGGATTGTCGTTGGAGTTTCAACATTTTCTTAGAGTATATGTATATGTCATGTTTGAATGTATATATATACACACATATACATACATACATATATATATATATATATATATATATATATATAAAGTGACTTTCACATGTATTGTATGTACAATATCAAATGATCAGATTCATCTAATAATTAAACCACGGTCCATGATATAAGTGTTGGGTTCGCTATACTGTACGGATTAAAATCGCAGCGGAAATTATACAATATAATTATTATTTTTCAAATAAATACTTAATTCGTAAGTACATATAGCGAATAAAATGATCGGCATCTTTTAAAATCACGTAAAAATACGAATTTTGATTTGTAGAGAAATTCGAAAATTACCTTTAATTTTCTTCAAATAGCGACGATGAAGAGGAAATCAATTTCCGGTTATGTAGCTATCATCGTCTTCTTACTCCACAAGGGATCCAAGTGTCTCCCTTCTAATCGAGTCCACCTTTTGAATTCCGACTTCGAGAACAATTTCTTCGCTAGTAGAAATTTCCTCGCAATTGAATCGGTATAAGGAATTAAATTCAGAGGAGAATTTTTTTTTTTTTTTTTAAAAAAAAAAACCTTGAGCATCATATACTCTTTTGCAAGATGGAAGTCTTGTATTTTCTTCAAACCGTATTCAACACATATATACATATCAATGCTAATCAAGTTGTATATATTTGGGTTGGTTCAAATAAAAACAAGTGCTGGTGTGAAAACCGTTTTTGATGCTATTTTTAATTGTGTATGATGCTATTTTTCATATTAGATGATGCTATCATTTTTACAAGTGCTACCAGAAATTGTGTTGCTATTTTTAATAAAATTCATCCTAATTAAAAATAGCATCAAACACAATCAATCATAGCACTACGCACAAATAAAAATAGCAGTTCTCANTATAAACAGGTTGGGTGGCATTGGTGAGTTGGGTTGGAACGGATACAACTCACACCAAAAAATCTTTATTTTCATTTTTTTTAATCTTTAATCTTAATTAAATAATAATTAAAGATAATAACATATAATTTATGAAACTAACTTTCAAAATTAATTAGTCAAAATCTTATCTCCCATAAAAATAAAATCTCCTCTTTTATGTAGGCTTTTAATATAAAATCATATTAATATTTGGATTTGAAATTTTAAAGTCAACTTTAAAATTCAACTATTAATTTAGTAAAGTCAATATGTGGGTGTTCAACAAAGAAATAGTGCCAGTGCATATCATTCTGAAAAGAGCTATGAGGGAGTGGAAGGAGTTTAGAGCAGTTGGTTAAACATTTTCATTTCTGTGATGATAAGTTGTTTTCCTCCTTTGCGGTTGCTGTAATGGTCTAGGTTGTTAAATATGGTCTGTTAGTGGACTTCTGTTTTTTGTTCTAGGTGATAGCAGGTCATTTGTTGATGTGTTGTTTTTCTTTTCTTGTTATTAGGACCTGCTTTGGTAGATAGGGTGGTTTGATGTGGTTGTGTCGTAGGTGTGTCAAGGTTCGGGTGGTTGTGCCTGCTTGATACCCTCGGGTGGGTTTGTATCTAGACCACTGCTTGTAGTGCGTCTCCCAGTTTATTTTCTACCCGTTGGTAGGCTCGGCGGTNAATTGATATCTAATAAAAATTAGATTTAATTAAATAATCAATTATTCAATTATATCTTGTCAATTAATCCAACTATTGGAAATACCAATTCTAAAATTGTCATCATCCAAAATTTGGTGTGACCCTTTTAGGTTCACGATTAACACTAGTAGTGGGTTTACAACTCATTTATAATTTAAATTAATATAATTAATTTATATTCTTGAAATTAACTCCTTAATTTCAAGAACCTACAAATCATGGGAACACCTAGCAAGTAGCATGATTATCTAGTGTTAACTGAAATAGCGAGTAAACCTTTTCAATTGCAAGTGCATACATGTAAAATCCTTTCGACAACTAATTTCTCAATTAAATCTTGGGCATGAATTTATTATTCGAAACCCAATTGATTTAATAACTATGATTTCATTTCAAGTTTAGTGATTCCTTTATGAATCCATATTCATCTCGCCTTGGCCAAGGTCTTTGAATCATAAACTATGAAAAACATAAGAAATTCACTTATCCACATAAGTGTCGAATTCTTTGTGGGCCACAGATAAATCTCCATGCATATTAATACAGTACTCAAAATATCCCTTTTATGATTGTCCAACAATCAAAGGATAAATCAAAGTAAAGCACAACATGCACAAGATTACTATCGTACCTCAAGTCAGAGGATCAGTCATGTACTATTGCAACATGAAAATTCTTATTCGACAGTTAAAAAACTTCCAGTTAAGAATTTTCATCGGGTCATGTTCAGTGAACTTGTTCTCCAACAAGCACCCGCATATATGCATTCACGTCCACACGCTAATGTTGATAGAATGCAACATTCTCATCCGATGAGCATACATCATATGCACAAGTATTATCGGATTATTCGATGTCCTGTCTCGAAATACCCATCGACTTGGAACTTATTTAAGATCACAGCTTTAAAGACATGTTCCATGATTGCCATCAAAAGCGCAACCATGCCTCATAACTAATAATGATCTACGGACTTTATCATATGTGCAAATATACGATAAATGCAAAACATAAGATAAAGCTATGCCTAAAAATAATATAATTTCCAATAAATTGTCTTTAAAAGTAGAAATATATCCAATCAGATTGGAACGCCGGGTATTCTACTCTAACAATCTCCCACTTGCCCTAGTTCCAATCACCTAAGTATTTTAGGCCCATCTTCTCAAGATGTCCGTCAAACGCTTTCTGTGATAAGGGCTTAGTCAGGGGATCTACTATATTTTCTGCTGAAGCGACTCAATCCATAATGACGTCGGCTCTACCAATGATCTCTCTAATCATGTGGTATCGCATCATAATTTGTTTGGATCTTTGATGAGATCTTAGTGCTTTCGCTTACGCTATAGCCCAATTGTTGTCACAATAAATCATTATTGGATCAACAATAGACGAGACTACACCCAACTCTTGGATGAAGTTTCTTATCCAAACAACCTCATTTTGCAGCATCTGATGCTGTAATGTATTCAACCTCGGTATTAGAGTCAGTAGTCGTTTATTGTTTGGAACTTTTCCAACTAACTACTGCTCTATTCAATGTAAATATGTATGTCTCAGCTGTTGTAATGCCCCGTTTATTTGTGGATTATTTGGGAT